GGAAAAAAGCTTGTCGTAATACGCATGAAACAGCCGTTTCAAATTCAGAATGAGTCTCTAAGCAATTAAGTCTTGCATTAACAAAATGCAGGGGTCCAATCCAATAAAACCTCCCAGGAATCATAGCGCACGAGCTTCAAATCCCCAGGAGAGCAGACCATCAGTGATAAGCGTAGTGCTGTTAATGAGATACGCACAACAGAATTCACACCGTCTCAGACATTAAAAAACATTAAGGCCGAGTATTGGGTACAGAGAGTAGAGAGCATGTTAATGAAGGTGAAGGAGTGGGCCGCACAATAAGGAAGGACAGATCAAAGCTGTTGTCTGCTAAAAGGGTTCATGTGCACACATGAACACACAAGGGATCTGATTTAATCAAGTCTTGTTACTTTACCAGAACTGAAATATCCTTAATGCAAAAATGCAAAGCCAGACAAAAGATCAGCTGATAAAATACAATAGCCTTTGACCCTTGATGGAAAGGTGGGATGTAAGTTGATCTTCTTTCTCTGATTGACAAGAGAATGTACAAATCCAATTGAAATTGAACATGGAATCATATTCAAGAGAATCTGATAAATGTCTCAGTGTTTGTTTGTCCATTCAAAGAAAGTCAATGGGGTCCCATTAGGGGTTTTGGACTCCTTTGACTTTCATTGCAAAAGCAAGCAGTTAAAACTATTAAAACATCTTCTTTTATGTTCCACAAAGGATAAAGACATTCTGGTTTGGAACAACATAAGGGCGAATAAATAATGACAGGATTTTCTACAGAACTATTCCTTCAACAAGCTGAGGAAGATAATATTAAGATTACATTTCTACTTTCCACCAGCTCAACGACGAAACACAGTGAGATGCAATATGACACTGATATGCTCAAGTAAAGGTAAATAGCACAATAATGAATCGTCTCATTCAGGAGATTCACGTGGTGTTTAACCCACTGGAACGCACCCAGCTTCCCAGACCCGATGCAAAGCACTCATGTGCCTATGTCCTGAAATGCCACAGGCATCAAGACTCATTCTACCGCATGAGCTGTCTGATCCGCAGGAGTTTGAATGCAGCCAGGGGCGATAAGGTCTAACGTGTGCAATTCAGAGCAGCAGGAGACAGAAAAAAGTAATAGCTCTCGTGTTAATAGTTTTGACTCATAGTTATATATATAAAATCAACTATATATATATCAAATCAATTGACTCATTCAACTGAATCAATCAACCTAGGCTCATTGGAATTACGTGTCTCTAGCACAACTCTACTATACAATTCACTGCAGTTTCCAGCTGAAATGAACACTGGAGGCAGTAATACAGCAACAACTTTTATTCCTTTTCACACAATTTATGATTACGGGGGAGATTAATAAATGATAAAGAATTATTTTCAGGCAGCTTCTTGCACAATACTATGTTATGATCTCAAAACACTTTTACCGTAGTGCATGATTTGTAAACTAATACATTTTGACGTGTTTATTAGTCACGTTGAATCAATGAAAGCAGTTGAATCTTCTGTTTATTCAGCTGCAGCGATAAGCATTTTCTGGGTTTCTTCTGCGAGGCGTATTTGGAGTTTCAGCGCGAGAGCGCCCTCTGGCCTTTGGATGGAGATTTACTGCTGATCACAGAACCGTGCTTCACTGAAAGATACGCATGACAATCGCAGCTTCTGTCGAATCGCGATCTCGATTCCATTTTGATTTATCGTGCAGCCCTATTTGCATCATATAACCAGCTCCAAATGTATGGCTTTTCTGATGTAGTAAACTTGCTCAGACGCTCACCTGGTACAGCATTGCACTTGCAATGTGGAGTGATCAGAGTCCTGTGAAACACGAGTCACAATAAAAGAGCTCAAAGTCTTGTAAAAGCAAGCCAAAATGGCATGGTTGCTTCAGCAAATGCATTTTTCTTACGTTAGCATTAAACTTTTAGCGCCACTCACAGGACATTTTCTGCCATGATACGTACAACAACCAATGTAACGAAATGTTGCCAGATTCACGTTCATCTGTTTTGAATAAAACTGAATGTGTTTTTAGCGCCACTTAGTGTCGCGAAATGTTCAAGAAGCAACGTAACAATTTTGCAGAAATTTCACCACAGACACGTGTTTCCAATGAGTCCTAGTTGGAATCAATAGTGCTTTTCTCTGAGCTTTATATCAGCAAATACATCTGTTGGAAATCAGACTGGTCCATTAAATGCCATATGACCATGCAAAATTTGATTTTGTAATGCTAGCTCCAAGTTTCCAACCCAGTTTCTTAAACCGAAATGTTCAATAATGAACTGCATGGCAGGTATAGAACAGCAGCACTGTCACGACTAATTAAGATCTGTAAATGTATCTTAAGCAAAGTAAATACCAGTCGAGCACTTGAAGTATTCATGTATAAAACCTTCTTTCTATCAAATAGAAGGGGAAAAATAACCAATACCTGCAGAAAACAAAAAGAAGGCCACAGGTTAGACTAATCAACAGACTTCCTTAGACAACCCGCAAACAAGAGAGATGCAAATTCAGGCTTTTCATTAGGTCAGTAACTAAGAGATGGTGAGAGGGAGAGTGAAAGAACGAGAGCAAAACAGAGCCTCAGAGCACATCTGAATTGAACATAAAAAGCGTGCTTTCTCATGCTAATTTCCCTGCCAGAGTGCCGGGGAGGGAAACAAAAGCAAACGAGAAACCGTCACTAAATGCAGTAAGAACGTGTACAAAGGACAAGCTAATGAGGGGGACCTTAGCGCTAACTAGAAAAAAACAAGAGAGCAACAGAAGGCACTTATTAAAAATAAAAATATCTTTATATAGTGTAAAAGGTTGTCACGGGTACCTATGCTTTAAATTTATAGTTAAACAACCCTAGATCAGTGGTTTGGAGATCCAGACTTTACAATTAAATGGCCCAAAAATGCACCAAAATTGTTTGCCGTGTATGTAATAATGTCTATTAATATCACCATAAACTGCCTAAGCCTAATAATAAGCAAAAATATTAACATATTTTGGTTCCAATTGTCTTTATTTTGATGGTTTCATGCTGTTGCCAATAATTCAGATTTTACTTATCCGTCTAATTTGGCTAGCATCTACCAAGTGCCAATTTATTTATTTTTCCATCCAAAGCTATGCTCAGTTATACATAATTAGTTTACAGCATATAATTAATTTATTTATCAGAACAGATCAGCGACCCATTTTTGGTCTTTAACCAGCTAGTCAAGAACCACGGTATCGATCAACAGTTTTTTACTACATGGTTTAATTTTGAGCTCGTGTGAATGAAGCTTTTTTTGGGGGGGATTTTAAAAATGTTTCTGCAACATCTTGGTCTTTATTATCTCCAGAGGGGTGTAAATATCCAAGCACTGCAGTAATGTCTTCCAAAAACAGAAAATGTGCTGAGAAAGTCAGTCGTTTGGACCCTGAATGGAAAACCAATGTAGTCATTAGCATTAAATATGTGCTGATGTGTTTTAGTTTGGCCAGAAGACAGATATCAAGCATATGTCGATATGGGACATGTCTACCATCCTTAGAGCAGAAAATGCTTACAAGACAAAAACTCCAGAACAAGAAGTTAATGAACAGTTCGTCGACACAAACACAGATGTAGATCTGCTCACAACACAAACATTCACAGAACCATATTGAAAAAATCACCTCGGGTATACCACCAGCTGGTAGTTAGAGGAAGTGCACACCTCTATAACAGCTGCATTTTACACCAGCACAAATGACAACCCTATGTGAAGCTAAAAGATTTACTTAAATATAATGATTATTGAGATGTGCTAATGAATAAATCGATGAAGCGCCAGAAAACACCCAAAACTTAGATTTGACTCCCACTGTCAAAGCCCAGCAAAGTGTATTTTCATTTTGCAAAGCCTCCAGTCAGCCAAAGACACCATGCCTAAATGCTCTGCACAAAATCCTATCTGATAGATTCCACCTAAATGTGTATTAAACCCACCATTGAACCTTCCTTCTGACAACAGCACAATGGGTGGCTTAATCCTAATCTCATAACAATGAGAAGTAAACCCATTTTAATCCAGTGAGGTTAATTTATTGTCTGATTTTTGAAGGCTCAGAGTGAAATAAGTCAGTATGGACCGTTGTAAACTGACATCCTGCATCTTTGAACATATAGTCTTAAAATGCCTGATATCTATCTGTTTAAGTTATTTAAAATGACAATAGAGCTTTTTAAATCACAAAGGTCTATAAATATCACTGGTTCACTTGAAAATTGAAGAAACCTATTTCTTATTCACATCCCTCACTCGCAAAGCAACTTGTCTCATGGCAGTTTCAAAGAAGTTAGATTGCACTCAAGGGTCAATGTATATGATATATAGGTCTGGATGAGTTAGAATACTAGCAGCTCTCTCTGATATCTCCTAATTAATTGTTTAATTAAGCAAATGAGTGTCTCACATCTATTTGTCACTGCTCATGGCATTGCCTGTCCAAACCATCCCTGGCAACGCTAAACACACAAACCACAACATATAAATACAGCTTGATTTAGTCTGAATTGTGCATATCGATTTATATAAACCATACGGCATCACCTGTGTCAACCGCTCAAGATGGTTTTTCAAAACAAACTACAAAAACAAAGTCCTACAAATTAACTTTTGGGTAGCATTAGACCATATTTTGGTCATAAACATCCTTGTTTTTAATCCTTTCAACTCAGTAATGTGAAGTCAAATTATTGGATCATTCGTCAAATGTTGCAACGCTAACATTTTTGTTTTTGCTACTCAAAAGAGGTCATGAGAATCCTGCATTTTAACGACTGCGTATTTTAATCTTTTAAACATTTTAATGTTTTCAACTCCAAGGCAAATCCTATCTTTAAAGCATCCAATTTTAATGCGATTGCCCCGGGAGAGAAACGAATGTACATTAATTCGCCTTGATTCATTTATCCAACATCCAAAGCGCACAAATATGACAACGACTGTATGCCTTACCTTCATTATCTGGATAATTCCTCAAGGCTTGACACAACACCAATATATGAAAAGGAGCAAGGATAGAGTAAATCCTACACAGAGCCATTTTCAGGCGGCTCCACGCGCCCGCATCCCTGTGCGTAAACTTGGGCTGGTGAGCCGGTGGCTGCGCTGGAGAACTGAACTGAGCTGAGCTGAGCTGAACTGGAAAGGAAACAGCGCGCCTGTTTGAAGGAGGATCCGACACTGGCGTGAGCTGCACTCTCTGGCTACAGCAAGCTGGATGAAGGGGGCGTCACGCGTGTGTGCGTGGCGTCAAAAGTAGGCGTGGGTGAGCGCGTATCTTGCTAGAGGACTTTTTTAGCTGTTAATTGTGTAAAAAGTGATAGTTACTGTCGGCATTCAGTTTAGATAGATAGATAGACAGATAGATAGATAGATAGTCAAAGTCAATTTACTGCCCTGCTGCGGCAACGTGCCGCGTGTCATATCACAGGCATGGGACCAATACAACAGAGCCCATTAGACCAAAACCTCAATGTTTGGTATTTAAAGATGAAGGTCAAATCAATACTCTTACTGCTCTTGGAAAAAGGCCACCATTTTTTCCCCTCTGCCAGCTGGTTCCTCCCATGCAGGAGCCCTCATAAGCTCTGTCACCTACCAAAAAAATGACATCACATTTCATGTGGTTGAATGTGATGGCAGGGAGTGTAAATGTGTTGTCTCTACTGTGTAAGCCCTCTCCAACAATGGCTTGACAGACAATCAGGCACACTGCCTGGGGTGTGTGGAGGAGTGCCAGGGGTGTTTATGATGGCTCAGACAAGCTTGTACACACCAGAGCTAAAAAATAAATGCAGTGAGGTTTTTTAGTGCCACTGTCTTTTTATCTGTATTTCTCTGTCTTTCACTTGCTGTCTATCACACTTTTGGTGACAGGCAGGACAGTCTGGAAAAAAACATGTGCATGCAGCAACCAAGAAGCTACATTGTAAAGTTTCCACAAAAGCAAACCTCCCTTGCACGCTTTTATTTTTCTTTTACATGTAAATTATAGGAATAGTTCATTTATTCACCCTCATGTTGTTTCAGACACATATGACTCTCTTTCTTTTGTGTAAAACAAAAAAAAAAAAGATATTTTAAGCTGGTCACTCTGTTCCATGCATTTACAGTGAATGGGGAATGAAGCTTGTAATCCTTTATAAAGCATGTAAAACCACCATGAAAGTGTAATAAAAGTGTTCCAAACAACCTGAGCGCTAAGTCTTTTGATGCCATATACAGTGGTGTTAAGTGAGAAAAAGACCAAATTATTCATAATTTTCTTTTTTCATGTATTCAAGAACCACTGTGACTGGATCGAATGAATGAGTTGAACCACTCAATACTCAAGAACCACTCAATACTCACAAGAACAGTTCATTCACAAATTGAACATTGCAATTTTTGTCATAAATCTACTTACATTTCACATTTAGTACTTTTATGATACGTTTATAAAGGTTTTGTATACTTTTAAGCTTGAAAGCCTCAAAACAACATAAAGGTGAGTAAATGATGAAAGAATTTTACTTTTTTACTGTAAACTATTTATTGACTTATAGACTCCTTTTTGAATCTCTTTAAATATTGTATCTCCCAACTGCAAAATGACTAAATCCTTTTCCATGAACCACTGTGACTTGATTGAGTCAATGAGTTGAACCTGAACCAAATGAGTCAGATTTGTGAACAAATCATTCATACTGTTTTTGTGAACTCTATTAAAAGATCCATTGACAAGATCTGACTCACAAAAAAAGTTAATTTATTAATTAAATATGGCAATATCTGTCATGAATTGACTTACATTTCGTTTGGATCACTGTATGATACTTTTATGGTGGTTTTGCATAATTCTAAGAATGAAAGCTCCAAAACAACATAAAGGTGAATAAATAATGACAGAATATTCCTTTTTGGGTAAACTATCTCTTTAAATGTTGTATCTCCCTACTCTAAAATTACTAAGGCATTCCTTTTCCATGTATTCGAGAACGCCTGTGATTGGATCGAGTCAATGATTTGAACCCGAGAACCAAATGATTCAGATTTGTGAACAAATCATTCATACTGGTTTTGTATGTAAACCATATCACTGACAAAATTTGATTCATTGACAAGATTTGGCTCGCAAGAACTGTTCATATACAAATGAAACATTGCAATTTCTGCCATGAACTTACATATTTTATATGGATCATTGTATGCTTTTATGGTAGTTTTGCATAATTTTAAGCGCAAAAGCTCCAAAACAACATAAAGTTGAATAAATGTTGACAGAATTTTCTTTTAAATATTGTATATCCATAATCTAAAATTCATAGGAGTTTCCTTTTCAAGTATTCAAGAACCACTGTGACTGGAAGTCAATGAGTTGAACACAAGAACCAAATAAGTCAGATTTGTGAACAAATCATTTATACTGTTTTTTTGAACCACTGACTCAAACATCGCAATTTCTGTTATGAATTAACCAGAAAACAGGGACATTTTATTGAGGTTTTGCATCATTTTAAGCCTGAAAAGTCCAAAACAACATAAAGGTGAATAAATTATGACAGATTTTTATTTTCTTCTTTAATTTCTCTTTGAATGTCATACCTCTTTACTTTAAAATAACTAAAGGCCTGCTGAATTTTGTTAATTACCCCCCTGCATGCATCAGTGACCTGTCAGATGAACCTTCCTGTTTGGGGAAGTTGTGGTCATGACGTGTCTTCCACAATGTCTCCCACTGACTGCACCACATCCCCAACATAAACCTGTTTCATTATTTAGCACAGAGGAGTGAGAATCATCAGCCAGAGAATCCAACAGCTGTGGCAGATCCGAGATCTTCATGTCCGCATATTAATGAAGTGGGAGGGACTTTGACAGGTGTAACAGGGCTGACAAATACATATCAACCTTCAAGACCACCTGTTGGTTAGCGCAGATAGCTCGAGCCTAATGAGGCTTGCTGGCAAGCTCCAGAGGCCAGACAGAGCACGAATGATCATTTCAGCTGCAGCCGAGAGCCACATGCTTTCATATTTGTCTATCATGGATGTGTAACCATGGTGGATGGGCATAGGAAGGGGGGTTTGCACTGGAGCTCTTGAACTTTGAGAAGGGGCCCCTCTGGATCTCCAGAACCCTGCTGCTGCTGCATATGGGAAGAGCATTTAATATGGAGAAAAATACCTCTGAATTGGTTTCAGTGGCCTAATTGTGATGAATACATTCTTAGAAAAAGCCTTTATCCTTCTCTAGGCACCCCATACTTGGACTATGAGCTGGTTTCACTGAAGATTTTAATGTTTTAAATATCTCAAAGAAAGATTGTTTCAGTTAAAGTATTGTTACATATGATTCATCTTAATAAATAATAAATTACATATATACAGTGGGTACGGAAAGTATTCAGACCCCCTTAAACAATTCTGTGTTTTCCTGTCAATATGGGGTGCTGTGTGTACATTAATGAGGAAAAAAAATTAACTTAAATGATTTTAGCAAATGGCTGCAATATAACAAAGAGTGAAAAATTTAAGGGGGTCTGAATACTTTCCGTACCCACTGTACTTTATTATAGATATATAATGTATTACATATATACGGGGCAGGTTAAGTCTGATTCCAAATTATGTTACAATAATTGTAGTTAGTAATGTCATCTATTACATTACACATTTTAGGTAATATACTCAGACTACTTTTCAATTACTTTTAGATTACTTTTGAACTAACTTGTTTATCACATTGATTTAAATAGGATAATCATGTGTCATATCGATATAAAAATACAAAGAGATAAGTGCTGGGTAGTAACTGATTACATGTAATCTGGACTACATAATTAGATGAACTTATAAATTTAAATTTAGTCCACTTCCACATTATTTTCATGAACTTATTCTTTGAACTTGGCTGAACTTTCCAGACTGCTGTGACTCTCTTGTGTGTTGCCCACAGAACAGAGCCATCTGGGACAGGTTAAACGAGGGACGTGCCACTCCACACAGATCTGCTTCTTTGGGCCCCATATACTGACCCTAGGGCTCCGTCTACTGAAAGAGAGCCTTGCCCTGTCTGCCATAGAGCGGGGGCTGAGTCTTAGGTCCCTCCCGCCCCTCTGGAGAGCAAGCATTGTACACTTGCCTCTTCCCACACTCCTGCTCACCTCTGGTGGGTGGAGCCTGGACCCCCGTCAATCAGCCAGCATGCGGTCCCTGATGCACCACAAGCCAGCACAAAAGAGCTTTTTTGTTTTTGTTTGGTTTTGTGCAGCTCTACAAAAGTGTCTGCTTGCATGTCTGCTGCAGGTTTCTAGAAGTTGCTAAGGTTTTTCTTATGTGGCAAAGTTACATTGAGCATGCACTAGGCTACTTCTAGTAAAGTACATGAGTTAAAAAGAAAAGAAAAACTCTTGTTGACAACCAGTTTAGTGTCTTATACAGCTGAAAAACTGGCCAAACACAGTGAGAGCTCAGTGAATGCAGACAATGTAAGGCCACATGCCTGAGTAAAGTTCAGTGCTCTGTTTATTTAATTCCTTGGCACTACCTGAAGGATCGTAGATGTTGTATAGCTGAATGAATGAGTGGCTTACTCTCTGTCATATTGTGAGAATCTGAATGAGAAAGAAACAGGAAATGAAAGTGCAATCTAATGATAAAGGATTTTCATCTCTACATATATATATATTGTATTTTTTGGCTCTTAAGTGGGGCCAATCTTCAAAGCCACACTAGCCCAGAACGTAATATGAATGTTTTTAATCATTTTCTAGAATGTTGCTATGTGGTTGTTAAGGTATTTAAAATGGTTTTAGCATGTGGTTGTTAGGGTGTTTTGTGTGGTTGCTAGGTGCACTGCTAGGTAAAGTCTCAATGATTTTTTATGATATAATTTTTAATAAGAGTTAAAAAATACAGGCCAGGAATAATAGAAAAAATGAATAATTAAATTAATAAGTAAATTAAAACAACAACACTGAAACCAGTATATACTGTGTTTGTGTGTATATTTTTTTTTTTGCTAAGGGGTAATAACGGAGTACAGTTTTAAAAAGTGCTTTTTCACTATTATTTACAACAGGATTTGCATTTTCATGGGTTTAAATAAAAGATTTTTGCTAGAAGAGGCATTAAAAATCAACTTTGTGCATCAAAACCACAAAATAAACTCGAACAAATTTGCGACAGCTGAATGTAACA